TGTATTCGGATGTTTTTTTTTCCTCCACTGTTTGGGAATATGCATCACTTGGAACGTGCTTCTTTTGTTGTTCCCCACCGCACCTGCCAGGTGAGGGTTGTTAATTAGATGTTATCACAGTTGTTCTCCTCCTCGGCTAGCTATCCTCCTCCTGCTCCTCCTGCTCCTCCTCCGCCAGCACCTCCTCCACCACCTCTGCCTCCACTTCCACGTCCACTGTTGCCTTGCCAACTCTTCGCCAAGCTTTTCGCCAACGTCCGAGCTCAGTGTGCACCGCTGGACCTCAACCTGGGACCTGCCCAGCTCAGTGTGCACCGCTGGACCTCAACCTGGGACCTGCCCAGCTCAGTGTGCACCGCTGGACCTCAACGGCCAGATATAATGCCAGAAGAGATGCCAGATAGAATGTCAGATAGAATGCCAGAAGATATGCCAGATAAATGCCATAAGATATGCCAGATAGAGTGCCAGAAGATATGCCAGATAGAATGCCAGAAGATATGCCAGATAAAGTGCCAGAATGTTTGCCAGATAGAATGTCAGAAGATTTGCCAGAAGATATGCCAGATAGAATGCCAGAAGATATGCCAGAACATATGCCAGAAGATATGCCAGGTAGAATGCCAGAAGATATGCCAGATAGAATGCCAGATAGAATGCCATAAGATATGTTTGATAGAATGCCAGAAGATTTGCCAGGAACAAAATGTATAAATGTCATGGTGGGGATCACACGAAGTAAAGTATTTTTGTTTAAGCATTTAGTGGTGAACGCCAACCAAATAAGTGATTTGGGTGGTGAATTTCTGCGGTTCAGTGGTGTCGAAATTTCCCTTGACCTCGTGGGCTTGGGCCTTTTTCCACAGATGTCCATGCTAATCAGAGACAGTCATCCCGTTATATCCCATGATATCCCATTATTCCCATCACAACCTGGCTTGCCATTTTTTTGGTCAGTTCATGGACTTGGTGGATGAAGCAATCAGGAGCTGATTGAAAACGGAGCTCCGTGGTGGCCTGGGTAACTTTAATTGGGGCCATGGTGATAACCTCCATAAGTTGGTGTGCGCTCCCTTCAATTATGGAACATATATGGAACATATATGACATATATCCACTTATCAATAATGGAATAATAGTGGATGAATGGGTTTATATAATATCCACTAATTTATCTACGTACCTTTAAATCAATGGAACTCCATCCCAAAATGTTTGTTACAGTTGCAGTGTGACTATCTGCAAACAACTCTGTCGACAGTAAACGGTTCTTGCGCGGGTTTCCCGGGCTGCACCACTAGTCGCACCAGTCGCATCAGCCGGTCTTTGCCTATCTCACTTCTACGGTGACAGATGCTGACAGTGAGACAGAACCCTTAGCTACTCCAGAAACATAAGGGTATCAGAATGTTTTTTTCTGTTCTTGCAAGGAGCTTCAGGTGGAACATCCTCTTCAAGAACTTTGAGGCAAAATCTGAACAAATATGAGCAGTTATCTTTACATCCTGATGATTAATAGAATGTTGATTTCTTGTAAGAAGTACAGCAATGAACGTCAGCAAGTGAGGAACAACTTCATATGGTTTTGAAATCTTGGCAGGTTTTGGGTGATGCCGACCGTGCCTGTGGCTTAGTCGTACGGAAGTCACTGTCCAATTGGATGCGGCCAAGATTCAATATGTTTCACATATTTTCCCTTGAATGTCAGTCCCATTTGTGACGTGTTGTGGTATATTTGCGAGGCTATGACTGCCAATGCTTAAAGCATGTTGTTGGATATTTTAGCGAATAATTCACTACCTGGAGAGGACATGAAGGACGCTTTGCGCGCATATCACGAAAGCTAGCTTCTGCCTTCTGCTAGCTGAAGTCCCTCTTGCTTTAGCAAGGTATTGGGGGGGCTGGTCTCCAATCGCATGAAACTTCACAGTCAACTACCCCCTCCTGGCTGGTTCACAAGCAGTTTGGCCGTGGCTCAATCCCCCCGGGGACACCATCCTCATGTCGCCACTGGAAGCAACATCGGCAGCATCTGCATCCTCTGCATCATTGGCATCTTCAATAGGGCATGGTTCAATACATTTTCATACATTACTGTACTATCTGAGGGAGGATGAACATCCATCACAGTTTTTCATCATGTGTAATGCCTTTGATTTCCTTTGTCCTAGAAACTCTATACCAGTCCATCTAGCGCCGCTCAGTGCTGAGGTTCTGGTGTATCTGACCCTCTGGATTCAGAAGTGCTTGTCAGTTGCCTCACAGGCGGCGAATCACGTGGGGATTGTTGCCCGAGAGACCTTCTAGTCACTTTAAATCCACAAGCTGACACAGATTCCAACACAGTCATCTCTCGGATGTACTCCGAATTGCCTGGTGTCATCTCTGCCCGGTTTTGTGCAAGGCAAGCGGTGTTGATGAGGCCACCAGATCCCTCGAGGTTGGAAAATGCAACTAACTACTGTAATGGATTTGTGGACTTTTTGACCCAGAGGCCTCACCCAGTGGTCTTTGATGGTTGGCAGGTCCTGGCTGCATCAGACTTGCCTGGACCTGGAGATTCTGGGCAGCTTGGCCATGCTTGGCACCTGATTTGCAGGGCTGGTCTTATTTTCTTTCTGTGCTCCGACTTGAGTCTAAGCAGTCAATTGCACGGCAGATAAAATAACTTTAGCAGGTCCTGATCCGCATATATACCTGTTGGCCTTGATGCCCTGGTCTTGTAGCAGGTTCATTCTCAACAGCTTCTTCAAACCTGGCACACCGCAGGATTGCCAGATAGCCAAGGCAGGTTCTTTTGCAGCACGCGGGAACATGTCTCCAAATTGGCTGAAGCTGATTTTATCATATGTCATGATATGTCATAATGTTTCAGAATATGTCATTATATTTCATAGTATTCTTAGACAAAGTATTTCAGGTATGATCATATAGGGACAGCAGTACATACAATATTTTCTGGAAGTCCGACAAGATTTAGTTGCTGAAGTTCCATTTTGGTTGGTGCATGTTTTGGATTCCATCGAGTTGCCTCTGGTGGACACGTCAATGTTTGGACCAACTTGCGCAGCATTGACACTTTCAAAAACCTTTTGCGTACCTGTTGCGTGCATTGCAACCAAGTAAAACTAAGTAAAACTAAGTAAAACCCATGAACACAGATTTGACATAGCTCAAGAATCATGTTCAGTCTGGATTTTTGGCAGATATTGGCAGGCATGCTTGAAGCAGCTACGCCAGGAAGCGTCCAGCAGAGGGATCGAACTACCTTTCTGCGTAACAATCCCCTGGTATTTGCGGTGTTTTTTGTTAATCATGCTCCCAGAAGGTAACAGGTGTCTTCGGGGCCTTAGATAAGGTGGGATTTTCTAGTACCGTTCACGATTCGTGGATGAAAAGACGCGTTGCGCAATAATCTATATACATGTTTATGCCAACATCACCGGAGTATCCTGCAAAGCAGAAGTTGTCTAAATATGGTGATTCCAATGTCCCAGGTCTTATTTATCAGAAGAGGTTGGCCCGGTACCCATCAATAGCATTCTCATCTCTCAAAAGGAGACTGCTCACCGCTTCCTGAAGATCTTGTATCCTTCGGGCCAGTTGAACAAATGGTGGCCCATCCCTGAGGAAAGTGCCGAAGACAGTAATTAAGGCAGTCTTTGTATGCTGTCAAATCATCTGACGCTGTGACAAGGGATGCGGATACTGTATTTCCAAAGTTGCGATCCCCAATCAGCATTGGTTCTCAGTGAAATAGGCCATGCTGGAATTGTTACCATGGAAACATCATGATACAGTCCAGTACATCAAGCCAGAATCCTTGCTATCCCAAGAATGTGCCATGTTTTAGCCAAGGAGCCAGTTTTCCAAGAAGAGATTCATGAACTTGACCTTGTGAGGGTGGCCAGAGTTCTTCTGGCAGTGGCTGAAGTCGCACTACTTCAAGACATCCCCTCATGTGGCTTAAGAGAAACGCCATGCCTACCAACATCTATGACAATTCTATGACAATCATGGCAATGAGTATTGAGGTTGAATAATCAATCATGGTCGAATCGTCGTCAGAATTAAGCAGACTGTTAACACCTTTTGCATGTTTTGCGTACATGCGAAGATGAATATCCCGAAGAGCAGTACCAGGAATACGTTCTGGAAGTCAGTGCCACAAAGCTGCAACGACGCATCGTCATTGTTTGCAAAAGCCACGGTGTGCGCATACTTGTGGAACCATCTTGCCAGATTTGCGCTGTGTGCATAGGGGCATAATAGGTGCCATGTGTCCATTTTTCCTACAAGTTTTTGCCGAGTAATGTCGCCTTACTTTTTATAGTCCACCCGGATCTGTTTGACTGTCCTGGTTGTGGTTTGTTCGAATCTCTCAGTGGTGATTTCAAAACAGTTGAAATGTTGAGCAGCAGCTGATCAAATTCGACGTTGCGTACTGACATTTGTGGCCGATAAGTCCTTTGAGATAGCCCGGACGAAGCCGCGCATCAAAGAAGCCGCTGCAAAGGCCCCGTTTTCTGCAGATAATGCAGTTCGTCCCTGCTGGATGTGAATTTCCAGTGGATGTGTGTGTATATTATAGTGATTATATGTGATTATATAGTGTATACAATGGAAGTGCAGCTTCATATTTGAAGCCTCTCTCTGGAGATGGATGAGATGGATCAGATCAGCGTCGTTGTGGAGCTGTCATGAGTATTTGTGAGTTGACTGCCCCATGAAGTCCGTTTCAATCTCACATTGAATGTGTCGATGGAGGCAGCTCGCCCCAAAATGGCGGGCCAGCCGGTTCGGAGACCAAGACACTTGACAGCTACCCAAATCCCCACCATCCGAAGAATCACGTTGTGTCTTCACAGGATACGGTGAAGTACGTGAAGTACAATACCACAGAATAACATTTTGGGGGAAAGACATAATTATTGACTCGTATTGAACCTATTGGATGTCTTACGTCTTAGCTTGCTCATAGCTGTTTTGGATCCAGGTGAGGCCCAGTGATTTTTGTGCTTCGTGCTCCCAGTGATCCCCATGGCCATGGTGCTTCAAGTGGCCCTGTTGGTCGCTGGATGCGCCGCTGGATCCTCAATTCCGGCGGACCATTTGGGTGCGCCACATAAGTGGGTGCCGGCCGAGCAGTGCAGCTTTGCCAATCCACCAGTGGTGCCATACTATTGGGATCCAAATTGCACCAATGATCTCACCTCACTGGGCTGTTGGGCAGATGGTGTCCATGCAGAATGCCGCTTTTGTGGAGAAGAACCTTATACTGGAGTCCATTGCCCACTCGAGAGTATTACCCCAAGCAAGCAATGGTGCCAATTTGATGAGGCTCCAGTGGTCCCGCTTCTGGGTGTATATAATCAATTACACATTTTGGATGTCATGGACGTCAGTGAGTTACATGTTCTTTTTCACACTCTTTTCGTTCCAAATTTTCAGATATTTTCAGATATTTGGTCGGTAATTGTTCATATTTTTTCATAATTTTTCAGTATTGTTCAGGGCAGTCCCTTGGCATCCCCCAGGTTCTTCTGGGATCCCAGCTGCAAGCAAGGGATGCTGGGATGCTTTGCTGATGGCAAGCACCTGGGCTGCAGGTTCTGTGGTGAAGGTAACTACTCTGAGGTTGAGTGCCCCTCATCAACCTGCTCCTTTGCCAACGAGCCCGTCACGCCTTACTATTGGGACCCCTTGTGCCGCATGGGGATGTTGGGATGCAATGCTGACGCCATTCACGTGCAGTGCCGCTTCTGTGACTACAAGCCATTTCACACCGTGCGGTGCCCCAGTAGGGCACGACCTCCCTACCCGGATGGAAAGTGTTGGTTTCCCCACGGCACGAGCCAAAGCTATAAGTGGGACCCCAGCTGCAAGTGGGGCAAGACTGGCTGCTGGGCCGATGGTGTCAATGCTCACTGCCGCTACTGTGGACCAGGGTCTGGCGGGGTGTATGAAGGCATTAGCTGCACTGAGAATTCTCTCTTTCCATAGGCCACCAGAGGGCTAAAATTTGGGGAGGTGCACAGCATTGAGGCCACAATTGCTTCGTGCTCACTTCTGCATACTGGCAGAACAGCAGGAGGCGAAATGCTGGCATACAGTAATTCAATATAATTCATTGCATCTTTTGAGTCTCAAATACAATCTGAGACACGATACACTCCAAAGGATGTTCATCGTACAGACCCCAGACATCCGGCAGAGATCCCCCAAGATTTTGAGGACCCATAAGGGTGTTGTGAGATAATCTGTCTCGCCAAACTGGGCGATCTTCGCCATTGTACTGGACGTTGCAGCTCCAGTGCTGCATGATTCCAGAAGCTCGACTGGCAAAATTGCCAATGGCCCAGAACAAAGGGGAGAAAAACTCAAGAGTGGCATAGGCAAGGGTTGTCAAATGTTGTCAAGCAACCCATCTTGTGGTGGAGTTTTTACACGGCCATGGGATGTCATGGGATTTTCATCGGATTTCCAAATGTGTTTGCCTTTTTTTAGCCGTTTACTCCGTTTACCATGGAGGATTCCCCTGTGTCTCAGCAGAGCTCGAGGTCACAAATCCGCTGAGCCAGACGGGTCCTTCACACATGGTGCGCCATCGCCCCGCCATCGCCCCCCCATCGCCTCGTGCAGGGCATGCTGAGGAACCCTTGAGACCTCAGAATTCCATGGAAGCGCCGCGATCATTATCAAACAGCCTTGCTGAAAAGGCTTTTAGATGCTTTTATGTTGTCAATGTTTGCACTGTTCAACATGTCTCATATTTGTTTCAGGCAGAACTCAGTAGCAAATTGGAGTCCTTATGAGTCCTTGGTTCTAATTCAGGGTTGTTTTCGCAGGCCGCTGCAGAAATGTTCATGTTCGGAATGTGCGGATCGCAGCCATCTCTAAGTCGATGAATGTTCCGAATGCGGCTTGCAATGATGAAGTAGACTCTTGTCCTTTTGGACATGAAATCCAAATCATTCCGTATATAATTAGTAAAGAAATAGACTGATAATGTTTCATCACATGGGCGATTTTAGGTCGCAGACGAACATTGGAAGACTATGAACCAAGGATCCTTCACCAAGCAGAAGTGATAAGTACCACGGAACATACAGAAACAGTCATGTTGTACGTAACATGTACTGTACATATACACATACAACATATATATATATATATATAATTAATATATATATATATATAGAAATTGCTATTGTTTCCTTAAGTGATGTCCCACTCAAAAGCGTGACACGTGTTTTAGTTTTGCATCCATTTGCCAATGTCTCGCACCATGGACGACCACAACTTTGATCGATCCATTTCCTCACCGCCGGGCCCCATCACCAGGGGATAGGTGGAGGTTTCTGGCCTTGTGGAGAGCTGACTGATGTCATGACATACAAATGGGCGATTAGTGGTATATCCCATGATATCCCATGAAAATTGCTGGAACACACGAATAGGACTCAAGTGTTCAAATTGAGTTCATTTGGCATCATTTGACCCTTGTTTTTGCAGCACTACTATCTTGCACTACCAGTGAGGAAGTTAGGCCTACCTTTCCTGATGCCAAAGGATCCAACAAGTCACTGGCTTTCCAAGGTCTTCCGTAAACTCAAAAGATTCGGGAGCAACTTGGAAGCAACAGAAGTGCTGAAAGTCACGGGGTACCACAAAAAAAACGAAGAATCATTATACGCAGCCAAGATTCGTAACGTTAGCCATAAGATGCCATGAGTATGGGAGGTCCACCATCTCTCTTGAAGGTGTATTCGGCTGTATTTGTTTGCACGAAGCGCCACAAGGCGCCACAAAGCGCCACAAAGCGCCACAAAGCGCCACAAAGCGCCACGAGCATACAACATATCACACGATTATATTATTGAACTTCCTTGGAAGTGATCAACATGTATACTTGGTGGATCTTGGTGGTTTGAGAATAGAAAGTCCTACCAACTACAGTAACTACAGTACAACCAAGTTGATTAAATCAGGAACGGCGTGGCTCCGGCACCTCGTCGGATCCAGCATCGCCAGCCGCAACCTCAAACGACCTCACCATGATTGGTTCATTGGTTCATGTTGATGTTATTCCTATTGTAGAAACTGAAATATATTGAAATATACTGAAATTCTATGAAAATGACCTGAATATGTTTGAATCAACTTAGGCATTTTTTTCTTTCATGACATTCAATGTACCGTGATGCTTTACACTCTGGTTCATTTAAGTGCTGCTTTAGTGTTTAGTTCTGTTTCCAATCTGGAGCTTTGCATCAGGAACCTCTACGCCGGTCGTTGCTTGATTGCATGTGGAGCGTTTCCTGCACTCCCTCGTTGCATATCGTTGCTATATGGAAATTGCATAATCTTGGTTTTGGTACTCAGAGTAATGTGCATGATGTTTGCTTGAACCCACAGAACATGTCAAGCATTGACAGAACCGCAAATGCCTAACGGCAGAGAGCTCTCTTCGGATTCTGGTATATATATATATATAGAGAGAGAGAGAGTGTGTGTGTGTGTGTGTGAGCAGTCAGGGAATTCTTCGAAGGCAGCAGTTTTTATTGTTCGCTGGCTCTTGCACGCGCAGATTCACCAGAGAAAGGGAACGAGAACGAGAACGGGAAAGAAATCGCTTGAGCAGGCCACATCAAGTCATCAACAGAAAGCTTGTAAATACAATATAATGATATATATATATAATTATATATCTTATATGCTTGTTTAGCATTCCAAATTCATGCAGAGATGCGCATGATCACGTACCCTTTGGGCAATGCCATACCGCACGCAAATACAGAGATATCCACCATACTCATGACCGTAGTGCAGGAGTCACAAGCTGAGTTGTGGCTCCCTTCATTCATCACCATATTGGATTTGGGTATGGGCCAAAATTATTGCCCCCAAAATGATGTTTGAACTAACTGTAAATACGTTGCTAAAGATAAAAGATACTCAGCATTGAATTTTGCCGGTCCATCGGTATCTATGTTTTACCTATGCGCATTTTTTTAACTGCGTCATGTTGTGAAGCTGGATTCCTTTTCCTACCAGTTCGCCAACGAGGAGCTTCGGGTTTGTTCTGATGTTTATGACCGATCCAAGTAAAGTTTTCTTCATTTTTCTTCGGAACTCATTTCAGTTTCACGAAAACTGCCGGGGCGCCAAAAGGTTGGCACCCTGTAAAAGCTGAATGCTGGGTTGCAATTGCCGCTGAGTTTCTAAAGTGTACTATTAAATACTATGAAACTATTATAATTACATTATTGGTATAGTTCACTTAGTGCGGTCGCAGGTGCTTGTGGCATACACCTCCAATCATCATCGACTGCCTCAAACACACCAGGCAGAATTCTTTCCGGTCAGATCGCTTGGTGACTGAATTTGACGAGCAGCTCTTTAAACCGTTTCTTGGCAAATTGTTGATACCATAAACCCTCTGGAAATTTACAGTAACATAGCTATTGAAAATGGCACATGATTTACTGTACCTATTCAGGATGGTGATTTTCCATAGCTATGTTAGTTTACCAGAGGGTATGGATGATGAGCAGATGGATCGGGAAAAGTATAAATTTATGTAGATTTCCTGTGGATTGGGATTTCAGTGGGGGTCAATCAACGTGAAGAACTCAAAATTGTCAATGTCTTTGTCGGATGAAGATATGTGCCACTTCTCCACTCCCAATGCTCAGTGCCGTCTAAAGTTGCACTCAAAAAAAACAATTGAGGGCATGCTCTATTGCATCCCCATTGGAGCACCCTCAATTTTGATTTCAATGAAACAAATGTATGCCTCTCAGACACTCCACACGACACACTGCCAAGTTATATCCAAGATCCTTTTTTACTCTTGGCACTTCAGCATCTTCAGGCCATGCCGCCACCAAAATATCATAGAGACACTGCGGTTCACCACAACCATAGAGGTCACTGATCTCCAACCAAGGGATCTCTATGAATTGGATGTTGAGGCAGATGCCCAGGCAGTGATGGGATAGTCATGGTCATATTTGTGACGCAGTGGAAGTTTCTGTGGTCTACTGATTCCTGGAGTCCAGATCCGGAAAATTACAAGAGGACAGGGACAGATGAAAATTGATGTCCTTGGAGACTAAGGATGGCCAAGGGACATGTGGGCAATGTTGGGCAGTTGCGCAAGATCCAATGATGTGCATACCATGAGATCCGGGCCGCACTTTAAAATTGTCGCAGGAACAACCAAGGTATTTAGACTTCCTGGAGGATCCGTTTCGTATTGTTTTGTCACAAGATCTTGCAACAGCTTACAACCACAGTTCTTCTCATTGGTTTTTGGGAATATGGGCCTTTGTAAGTCCCGGTTGAGCACCTAGAACCCACCTGGAGCTGGCCACTTGCAGGAGCAGCAATTACTGCCGTACCCTACCTGGCTGCCGGATGTTGAAGGGGACCGCTGCCAGAGTTGGGAGGTTTCATAGGATCACCAGAGGATCACTAGCTGCTAAGTTTGGCATCAAGTCTTCCAAACGCAATCTGGGTTTGTCCAAAAATGGTGGTATACCATGGTATACCGGTGTATCCCAAAACCGCAACTTCTAAATTCTACAGGGAAACTACGGGAAACTGATGGTAAGCCACTGGATTTAAGGGGCACTACAACCTCTACCTCTGGCCCCTACAGATCTAGCTTTATGTTTGCCGAGTCAGGGCAATTGCAGGAATTCAAGCAAATGATGAATATAGATTAAATATAGGGGAAAACATGCCAAGCAAAAATGAGTCCAAATACATTAAAGGACCGGATACCCCCACATATCAATTTCTTCCAATAACCACCAAGCAGATGTGAAAATGAGATAGGAAAGGCAGGAAAGAGAAAGGGCATGGGCCGGAAAGATGGTGGGAAAGAGTAGTAAGTGAAAGAATTCAGAATTGTATGTCAAAGTTGTGTGTCAAAGCATCAAATGTGTGTGAAAGAGTCGCCAAATGACACTGGATGTCACCAAGTGCCACGCCTGCCACACAAACAGCCGCGGCGACCACGGCGTCAAACGGGACCAATCGCGCCACCAGAGCCAGCCCAGCGCCATAAGTCCTACGCCTGCCGCGCAAAGTGAAGGTCGATGTCACCAAATGCCACGCCTGCCACACAAAACGAAGGTCGATGTCACCAAGTGCCACGCTTGCCACGCAAAATGGACGTCGATGTCACCAAGTGCCACGCCTGCCACGCCAAATGACACTGGATGTCACCAAGTGCCACGCCTGCCACACAAACAGCCGCGGCGACCATCAAACGCGCCACCAGAGCCAGCCCAGTGCCATAAGTTGCCACACAAAGTGAAGGTCGATGTCGCCAAGTGCCACTCCTGCCACACAAACAGCCGCAGCGAC